CCACTTCTTCGGATGCATAGTGGGCTGTAGTCCACGAAAGCTTATGCTCTAATAAATTTGTTAGTCTCTAAGGTGCCACAAGTACTCCTGTTCTTCTTTTTGCGGATACAGACTAACACGGCTGTTACTCTGAAACCTGCCATCCTTAGAGGTTTTTAAGGCCCGGCCTGACAAAGCCCTGGCTGGGATGATTTAGTTGGGGATTGGTCCTGCTTTGAGCAGGGGATTGGACTAGATGACCTCCTGAGGTCCCTTCCAACCCTGATATTCTATGATCTGAGAAGTTATGGCTTTGAGCCACAGGATAGGGTTGGTGCAGGAAGGTTTGGGCTGGAGGGAGAGGAAGGGGGCACTGGAACAGGAGGGGCATGGGGGGCCCCCACTTTTTACTGGCCATAAGGGTGAGCAATGGGGGGAGGGTGCAGAGAGGAATAAGCAGGGGATGGGGTCTCGGGGGGAAGAGGCGGCGTGGGAGCGGGGCCTCAGGCAGGTCGTGCGGCGCAGGGGGTAGGGCCATGGTTCGGGTGCCTGTGGCCCCCACACACACACTTTTAGGGCACTTCCGCTGCTCCTGGGGAGAAGCATCCAGGAAAGGGTCAGGAATCTAGAGGGAAGGGGGAGCTCTGAAGGAAAAGTAGAGGGGAGGTCTAGAGGAGAAGGAAGTGGGGTGTTGGAGAGGAAAAGAGAGCATTTAGAGCAGGGGTCGGCAACCTTTCAGAAGTGGTGTGCCGAGTCTTCATTTATGCACTCTAATTTAAGATTTCGTGTGCCAGTCATACATTTTAATGTTTTTAGAAGGTCTCTTTCTATAAGTCTATAATATATAACTAAACTATTGTTGTATGTAAAGTAAATAAGGTTTTTAAAATGTTTAAGAAGCTTTATTTAAAATTAAATTAAAATGCAGAGCCCCCCGGACTGGTGGCCAGGACCCGGGCAGTGTGAGTGCCACTGAAAATCAGCTCGCGTGCCGCCTTCGGCCCGTGTGCCATAGGTTGCCTATCCCTGCTTTAGAGAAGTGAAAGAGAGAATCTGGAGGGAGTTTGGCAGGAAGAGAGGAAGGGGCTACAAAGGAAGGACCCTGATTCAGCAAACCACCCCTGTTCAGCCGAGAACTTAAGGAGGTGCAAAAGTTCCATTGGCTTTAATGGGACCCAGGACCTGATCCAACGCCCATTGCATACAAAACTTCTCATTGACTTCCGGGGGCTTTGGATTGGACCCAAAGCCCGTGTTTCGGCGCTTTGCTGAATTGGGGCCAGAGAGAGAGCTTGCCGAGGTGAGAGAGGGAGTTGGCCGGGAAGGAAGAAGGGACTAAAAAGAAAAGTAAATGCCACTAGAGCTTCACAGTTGGATAGAGGAACTGGGCAGATGGTGAGTGAAATCCTGGCCCATTGAGATCAGCGGCAAACCTCCCACTGACTTCCAGCACGCTTAGTGATTTCATCCTAAATCACTGGACGTGGGTGACGGTCAGTGCAGCGGCTAACGTGCCGTGTGTGCTTGGGGACCTGCTCCTCAGGACAAAAATAGGTGATTTCACTGGGGGCGCCTTTCAGTTTCAGGGAAAGCGCAGGCAGCATTGCTCACTCGTATTTACCGGGCCTTCTCTTTGCCCTTTTGCAAACCTGTAGCTTTTTAAAATGGCTGAGTTCATTGAAAACATTGTAATAAATAAATTCCTTGCCAGGGATACCTGTCCCCTCATTTATGTGGTTGCCTATTGCCGGGGTTAATTGGAGACCACAGGCAAGTTGTGGGGGATCAAGCTCCTTTACGGGCTACACTTTAGCCTGGAGAGAATATTTACAGCTTATAAAGAGAAGGATTGATCCTGAACTCGGGCGGCTTGCGCTGAGCAAACGGTGCTGCTGTAATATTTAAAACACAGTGTTTGGGTGGAAAATATACAACCCGCATGTTTTTCCATGTGGGTACTGCTGCTCAGGGCATGATGTGTGTCAGGCAGACAGCTGTGGTATTTGTTCGGGGTGGGGGGGTTGCTTCTCTTTGGGTTGTTGTGCTCTAAGTAGCTATGATGCTGCTCAGATTGACAGCCCCGGAGACGGGCTTTTTCGGACTCAGGTCCAGCGCAGGCCGGCCATGCTTTGCCGTCACTGCCCTACTTGTGTCGCTGGAAGGGCCCTGGTAGAGGCAAGAGGTTTGGTCAGTCGCCAGGGCCCCGCCTGACCCTGGCCTCTCTGCTGAGACCACCACCCAGAGGACCACCCAGTGCAGCTGCCGCTTTTGTAATGCAGACATCTGCCCATTAGGGGCTGGACTCAGACTTCAAGCCAATAGCCCATCAGTGCCCAGGTGATAACAGCTTCCAGTCACTGTAGACCAGGACAGGTTAGACCCAGAATTGAAAGACACCGAAGTCTATAATCCTGGGCCTGTCCCAAGCCTTGATTTCCTAGGGGTGTCCTTTGGGTGAGCAAATCACACGGGGCAGTAGGACTTATACAGCCACGATAGCTTTCTCTAACTATGCTTGTTTAATAAAAAGAAGAGATTCCCTGGTTTCAGCTCAGGTTTTCCTTCAGCACACACCCCGCCAGCCAGTGCAGTGGTATGTTCCATTGAAAGCTGAAGGGAAAACCCAACCGAAAGCCCACACCCTGAATGCAGCTGCTTCTCCGTGAGCCATGCAACAGCTGTTAGTCTCTCAGACACCCACAAACACTGAGTGGGGCGGTATGTTCTTGCATGTGTCCTCGTGCGGCTCTAGGCGCTTTGGCATCACCATTACAGGGGAAGCCCAGAATCTGGACCTTAGGTCTTGCCAGCAAAAAGGGGCGGATCCTGCCCCTGTGCCAATAGAAAATTCAAAATGTTGATGAAATTTCAAATTTTTTGGGGGGGGACCCCAATACCCTGGAAATGTTCAATGAAATTTTCACCTTATCCCCCAACACTTTTTAGCCAACGGTCAAGCTGGTTGGAACTTTTCAAATTTGGGGCGTTCAATTCGGTTTTGAATTTGGGGAAATCGAGTCAAGAGCGTGTTTTGTAAATTTCTCTTCCTGCAGTTCTACTTAGCACTGCCCAGGTAGCCCCACTGCTTTCAATGGGGTCACCTGCAGAATAAGGCACAACCCTCAGAGTGGGTGTGACAGACACAGAACCTTCATATAATTCTGAGGCTCACATTGGGGATGGGGGAACCGATCTGATCTCATTTTGAACCCTCTCAAAACATTGTTGGTTTGAATTTTCAGCACAATTTTCAACACAAGCTTGAATCTCACTGGATGGGAGCTCTGCCTAAGAGAGAGGATGGTAAAAGGCATAGTGGGAAAAAAGAAAGGAAAGAAAAGTGGGAAAAGGAGAGATACTGGGGTAAATCCTGAAGTCAGTGGCACAATTCCCATAGCAAAAGGGGCAGGATTTCATCCACAGAATATTAAAACTGGTTGAAAAAATGGGGACTACAATTTCATGAAGAATTTCGAAAGTTCAAAGTTGTTTCCATTTCACAACGTTCATAATGGACCCGTTTCCCCTTTTTTTGCTAAATGGTCTATGTTTTTTTTAACCAAAGTCATTTTCAATAGTGTGATCAACCTTTACTGTTTACCAAAAAGTTAAGTTTTCTGTAAGAAAACGCAGTTTGGGGTAAATAAAAAACATTGCTAATGATTTTGATAAAAAGGATATCCTGGAGAATGTTCAGGGGGGAAATGGGAAAATGTCTATAATGTTGACAATGTTTAGCACAAAGGTTTGGTTGGGTTTTATTTACAAGGCCATTTTTCTATTAGAAAAGCTCATGCAAAGAATTTTTGATCTGCTTTACAGAATATATGCTGTCTGCAGGCCAACCTCATGATGCTCAGGGTGATGAATATAGGAGCTACTTCCAGAAACAAGGTGACTGACACTTTGTTGTGTGTCTGGTGCCTACATACTGCGCTGATGGCTACTGTAGAAATGGAGAAAGGCAGCCCAGAGATTGGGGTTCTGCATTGGACAGGGATACTCACGTGGTTCAGAACTTTAGCTGACCAATCAGGCTTCTCCTTTTACCCAGCTTATTGTACAGAGTGGAGATCTGCTTTCTGTGTGGCTGACCCGTGCAAACTTGCTTTGCAGAGCGGTCTATTCTCTGGTGCTCTGAAATAAATTACTAAATGTAAACAATGCGCAATAAACCAGGTCCTTCACGGCACAGACCCTTTGCCACCCGGGATCCACCCTGTGCTAAACCTTTTCATGGTCGGCAGCCTACAGCGTGATTTTTTTCCCCTCTCCCGGGGCGGGATTAGGACCTTTTCCTACCAGGACAGTAGAGAGAGCTGGCATCACTCCAGCATGGACACCGCCATGACACAGTCCTTCCCTGGAAGATGAATGGCCGGCCAGTTTTCTTAATCCAGCCACTTTGGAAAAATTGTTTGTTCTCATCCTGTTTGAAACGGCTTCAAAGTGGCTCCGGTCTAGACTGTGCCAAGATAAATTACAAACCCAAAGAGCTGATATAAACCACAGGGGGAGCGAGTCATTTGCTTTAATGTAATTAAAACAAGCTATACTAATGTATGTATGTATGTATATGTGCATGCACACTCTCGTCTAGCTGGAAGGTTGGGGAGGAAGAAAAAAAGCTCTGCTGGAAAGCTTTTGTTTTGCTCGCCCCGTGAAGGCTGAGATTTCTCCAGTGGAACCGAATTTTGAGAAGCACCGTCTCCACCCCGCCAGTCCTTTAAGACTGGCGGGGTGGAGACCCAAGTTGATCCTTTCCCCTCCCACAGCTTCAGCCAGCCAATTAGATTGTAGCAGGCGAGCTAGGCTGCATGGCGATAGGTATAAAAGGAGTAGGGATATATGAAAATTAGCAGGAGGCCATTGGTGTTGGGGGCGCGGATGGATACACAGTACTTAGATACAATCCGGACAGCTAAGAATGAGGGAGTGGCACTATTCGGAAAGAGGAATACAGCACTGTAACAGGGTGATAGAGGCCCAAGGCCTTAGAAACAATAACAGAGAACAACAGAAGGAGAGAAATGGTGCCCTGCTCTCGGTGTGAAAACCAACGTAGAGCAAGGCCAGATAGGGCTAATCATCACTAACGGATCTGACCCTTAGAGCATGATTTTCCTACCACATAATCCAATGTGACTTTTAGGCTCTGTAAAGACACAAAGACACAGTCTGTGCCACTGTAACTCATCTATTTGGTTATAGGGTCCAAGTTTCTGGTTTGGTTTTCATACTTGAAGCTTTAGACAGATGTAGATCTAAACACAATCTCAAAGACGTAGTCTGTGTTTAAAAAAGAATAGCTTAAAAAGAATGAAGTTACTTTTACCATTATTCATCAGATCTTTTTGTTTATGCTGCACAAGCTGACGGAGACAATATTATTCACCAGAAGTACTGTACAAACTCAAAAATATAGCTCTATTAGCAGTAGATAAGGCGAAAATGTTCATGAGTATGTCGTCTGGGTCAGAGTTATGGTTGATTCTGAAACACAAAAGGTTGGCTGTTACATGTCAGTAGTGTTGTTAACTAATTTTGCTACACGAGCTGCTGGAATAATGGAAAATATCTGATGTTATTTCCTTTCTTCTGAATGTTTAAAGGATAGATGTTGCTGCCTTTACTCACATGGTGTATCACCTTGCTCCACAAGGGGTCCCACTGATTTTATGGGGACTACTCAAGGATTAAGGTACTACTCAGTATATGTAAGGATATTACACTCTGGCCCTTATTAGCCAGTTAGAATGAGGGTTAATCATTGGAGCAACCTTAACCTGACAGCTTTTCGGGAGGTTGGTATTTATCAATCTAAGCGTCAGTAAATCAGTTTTTAAAACTAGGTTCTGGAGCAGATCTCATTCTGTGAAGAGGATTGCACATGTAAAGTAAATGGGCGTGATTATTTCTAACAAACCATTCAGGGGTAATTCTCACATGAGGCTTTGATGATCTCAGTCCAAAAATATCTTGGTTAAACAGCACAAGAACTGCCATACTCAGGCCAATACTCCATCTAATCTAGGTACCTTCCTCTGGTACCACAAGTTTAAAAGGCAGGGGGAAAAAACCCTAGACTTCAGCTGGAAACTGTGCAACATTCAACTGAATTTTCATCCTGACCCTTAAGAACAATCAGCTTGTGCCCTGAAGCATGAGGAGAGATAGTAACACCTGTCTTTTTTTATCCTTCCTAGTGTATCTGCCATTGCCATTCTTAGTCAGATCTGCTTAATCATTGCTTCGAAGATATTTGCCTCAGAACCATTTTTAATCTCTCTTTTTTTCCTTCTATGGAGAACAAGCTGAAATCTGCTCAGATAACTTTAAGCTTAAAATATACGGGCCCTGTTATTGTTGGGTTTGTTTTTCAACAAGCCACAGTTGAATCAAGAGCTGTTGGTGAGAAACTAATGGCTTGTCTCCACTAGGAAGTTGTAGGGCTTTAGCTGTTGGTATAGGTACAGCAGTAAAATCCTCCGAGTGTGGGCGCAATTCCATCAGTGTAAAGGGATTTTATACCACTAAAGCTACTCCCATATGGGACGGGAATAACTATATTGGGATAAGGCACCTTTATAGTGGTCTAACTAGGGGATGTACCAACATAACTAGAAAATCACCTCCCTAACTGACATAGTTATATTAGAAAAACTGCCGAGGTGTAGACCAGGCCTAAGACAGCTGGGAGATGGACTATACCATTGCTGCAAAAGGCCGGGGAGAGTTATTGTACTGCCTGACTGCGGCGAAGGATTAAACTAGCACTGGCTTTCATTTGCATGCCATTAACAGTGAGGATCTCTCTAGCTCTGGGTGGGGCTGCTCACCAACCCTGTGTTTGCAGGTGTCCTTCCTTCCCCATGCAAATCCTTTCCCGTCAGTCAGGCTCTCTTTCCAAACACGACATTATCTTCAATTAAAAACAAAGACAAGCTGAACAGCAGGTGCTGACTTGTCCGGGCTACAATTAGCAACCTCAGCTGTGCGACTTATTTGGGGGAGAGGTCAGGGGTTTGCTTTTTTTGAGTGTGTTTTCTCCCTCTGTTTATTTCTGTTCGTGTATTTTCCAAATTGTATCCGCACAGGTGAGGGTTAAACGAACTTTGCTCAGCTCAGGACCCTGGCAGTGCCCTGTTTGCATCCAACGGAGCAGACTTTAGCCAGCCTCTTCTAGGATAGGATCCTGTGTGTCTCCTCGGCTCCCACGGATTGCAAGTGACGGAGCCCTAATGCCGTAGTGCAGCCTGGCTCAGATGCCAGGTCCCCCTGCACGCCTGGATCCAAGCAGCCTCTAAGATGGAGAGAGCCGCAGCCCCGTGCTAATGGTCAGGGCGAATGTGTGCCACAGGGTAGACTTCCTGCGACTTCAGGACGCATTTGGGGGCGCTCCTGCATTGGGCTCGTTGTGCTGCTGTTGGCCCGGGGGCCGTTTGAGATCACAAAGCGCTGGAGGGATTAATTGCATTCCCACGGGGCGATTGCTGCGGGCGAGCTAATGCGAAGGCATTCTGGGCGGGGTTTTTTCTCTCCTTCCTCTGAAGCAGCAGGGCCAGCCATAGCTGGAGATGGGACACTGAGTGGGGTGGGCCAGGGCTTTGAGGTGTTCCTGGGCATTCTCTCTCTCAGGGGCTCTTGTTCCCATACTCAGGGGCTCACCGATCACCAGATTCAGGGTCGGGAAGGAATTTCCCTCCAGGTCACATTGGCAGCGATCTTGGGGGGGTCGGGGGGGTTCACCTTCCTGTGCAGCGTGTGTGTGTGTGGGCCGCGTGCCAGGATTATCCGGGTGTATCTCACGTAGCCGTTTCCTTGCACTGGTGCACCTCAGGCCCTCCTGTTCTCTGCCTGTGGCACATCAGAGCCAAGTCTCCCGTGGGCTGGAATACTTGGGTCTGTTTCGGTTGTTGGGTTTAGTGCGCGGGTGCGGAGTGGACTTGGTGGCCTGTGCTCTACAGGACGTCACTGGACGATCTGGTGGCCCCTTCTGGCTTAAAACTCTATTACTCTGCACCCATATTGCCTGCCATGTGTACCTGTCGCATCCCTTGCACCTTGTCTTATGGAGCAGGTCAGGACTTGTGGTTAGCTACTGCGCTGGTCAAAAAGTGCTGGGGGACTTTAAAATTCTGCCTAGATGACCCACCCCGCAGAGACCTCAATATAATGTTTCAGCCAGAGGGCACCTCTGCCAGTGCAGCCCCCTCCTCCTCTCAGCATGGCACGGCCAGTTTCAGTGTTGGGTATATGCCCAGGTCCTCTGGTGGGAGTTGGAGTGGGGAGTATTTGTGTCTTAATAAAATAACTTCTTCTGGCCCAGGCCGGGCTGAGTCGCTGCTGCACTGGCCTGAGGAGTGGCTGCAGGACGGCAGCGCGGCCCATTCATTGCTTTACGTACGTATGGGTCCCCGGGGTAGATACGAAACCAGCTCCCTGGAGCCCCATTCTGTTCCATTTGCTTCGTGATTTAAGCCTGCAAGCCCCTGCAAACCTGCAACCTCCACGTCGGTATCGATGCGGGCTCAAGCATTCTTCAGCCACATAAATTTCAGGTCCGGGTGCTTTGAAGTTCCCAATGAGGACAGTTGTTTTTGTTTGTAGTGTTGCTTATCACTTTAATGCCCCCTCCCTGTCTCCACGCGGGCTCCACTCTCAATCTAGCCCCATCCTTCTGTCCATGCAGGCCCTGCTGCCAGGGACCGCAGCGCTGCCAGAGACCACTGATAAGGATGATGGATGGGGAGAAGGCTGGCTCCACCATGGCCCAGTGGCTTCCTGGGAGCTCGAGACAGTCTAGCTGTTCCAAAGCCCATTGGAATGCTTGTTTAGAAGCTGGAAAGCAGCTGGGGAGGGGGAAGAAAGGGGCAGAAAATGCTGCCTCCATCCCCCTTCCCAGATGAATCCCAGATGAACCCTCAGCCTGGCTGCGATAGCAGATTTCAGCACCCTTCCGCTGCAATGATTTGCTCCCATGTTGACAAGGTTCCCTTTCAGCATCTAGCCCACCCTGCAATCCCGTTCTTCCAGGCCAGTACGCGGTGGCTCTGATTCACCCAGACACTGGTGGAGGCGGCCAAAGCAAACCAGGGAATATAGCGAGGACCAATTCTCCACCACTTTCCCGCCGCTGCAGCCAGTTCTTACCGTGCAAAGGGAGGACCCAGGAGTGCCAAACGTCAGCAGCTGTCTTGGTGAGGGGAGAGTCCTGATTTGCTAGCATTTTGACCAAAGCAGGGCGCAGGCAGGGGAGAATTAGGCCAGTGAATCACAGTTAAAAAAAAAGAGAACAGGAGTACTTGTGGCACCTTAGAGACTAACAAATTTATTAGAGC